CGATTCGAATCTAGGAGCTCCCATCGATATATCGATTTTTGAAGCAGCACTGTAGTGTACATTATTTCTTGATTTGCGTTAGCGAAAAAACGCCCTCTTCGTTTGATTTAAAAGGCTTTTTTGAAACCTCTCTGCGCCTTGTAATCTACCATTTTTTCTTTTGAAATTCTTTCTTTCCTTTTCATTTTTTCATTTTTTCGCACATGTCGAAAGAACAATAGTGCCATGCTCTGGTTTATTCTATCACTATCAAGTGATTTTTAACTTTTAAGGTAGCCAAAGAAAATGTCGGCTGGACTCGTCTGTATGTCACCAGAAGAGGTAAAAAACATCGTGGCGACAGCGTCGTACATTACGAGACTTCGGACGTCACTGCACAGGCCGGACATGACTATGTGAAAACGAGTAGTACGCTGAGATTTGTTGGGCAGGTGCGTAGTTCTCAACAGTGTCATATGCCCCAAAAATTTTCAAAGATGAACTAATTCAGGAGTACGAAAAGTACATCGACATAGAGATTATCGATGACAAACAGGACGAAAAAGACGAGACCTTCAATGTTGAGCTGACATCACTGGAAGATAGTGGTGAGTCTGCAAAAGTTGCGAAGTCAATCGATAATCGATTTTCTACTGCGGTTATTACTGTAGCATAGCGTTTGAACGCCCATATTCTGCTGTAAATCTGAAAAATTCACTTGAAAGTTTACATTTTTTGACTGAATGATAGTAACAAATATAATTCAGAAGCAACACTAGGCGGCAAACGTCGTGCACTAGTCACCATTGTATCTGACGACAATGCTCTAATGAACATTGTAAATGTCCACAAACTTATGGGACACTACATGGACAAGCTTTCGCCATATAGTGCGTCGTGGATGGACCAAGTAAACTACACTGATTCGTCAGAAGAATATTTTTTGAATGAAATTTTTTCAGATTCGCTCGGCCGTATCTGTAGATGCTGGCGATATAGAGCATGCCACCCTTGGCGATTGTATAAAGCACGGATTAGCGTTTCCATGGAAGGTGAGTACTGCGATTCCTCTTGTTTTACTTTGAGCTGAGAAATATGAAAAGAAAGTAAGCAAGCTATATAATAAAGTTGATGTCCGATGTAGTACCGAAAAATTGTAAAA